CTCTCTCTCTCTCGCTCTCGCTCTCTCTCTCTCTCTCTCTCTCTCTCTGTCCGTCCGTGGCTAGTGTTTGTAACATCAATAATCACCGCTACTGGGCTCATTTCTCTCCTCGCTGTAACGGGGCTCCAGACAGCTAATATTCTGTACCTTTTTGGGGATTTTCTTTGTTTTCTACTAAGATGCACAGCGCTTCTTGTGTGCACTGGATTTTATACAGTCATTTAAGGATTTAGTTTGGTCCACTGAGTTCTCCGCACATGTCTTGAATATTTCATCCAGTGCTGTTTTTGGACTGTACTTGCGTGTGTGTTCTGGCCAGCGTTGGGTTTTGTTGCTCACCTGGGCCGCAGGTGAACATGTGGATTTGGGAACTTGACTGACAGATTCTTCACAAACGGATTCAGGTGGTAATTATAATAATATTTCAAAATATACCATTAGTTTACATATAATGTACTCATCAACTTTTTCCAATTATTATATTGCCATTTTTATATATTGCATCATGAAATATGTTTATGCATTTCTTGATGTTACTGTATGTGAAATGTATATTTTAGGTACTGTTGACCATTTACTGTTTTTCACTGTTTTAACCAACTTTTTTTTTTTTGCAGTTCACCTAAATAGTCCTGCAGTGTGACGAAATATTTTTTTAAAGAACAAATGTTTGACTATATATTTATCACAAATAAACATGTATAATAAAGATGTTTAAAATAGTTTTTGATGAAGTAATGCATGTCACTGCTGTCACAGCACGACATTTACTTGACAACTACTATAAAATATAATAAAAGATATATGATATACTGTTGTTTGAAGAGGAACTTTCTGTGGGTCATTTTTCATAATCTTTAGGGACAGACTTTAGTGTAAAAGTACTTTAATAGTGTTTTACTAAGGTTTTGTGTTGTTTTCTATATGCATTCTATAAGCAGTGTATCACAAATGTTATTGTTAATTGTTTATATGATCTGTTGTAAGAAAAATCTTTTAAAAAATATAGTTTAAAATACATATATGAAGTTCTTCGAAATGTAATGTGTTCATTTTATTTTATGTGGAATTTCAAGCAAAAGTTTATTTTTTATGAAATTAATTTAAAAAAAAATTTTTTTTTTTATTACATTTATTTATTTATTTTTTAAATGTAATTTATTTAATCTAAATATATTGTGGTGAAAGTAAAACGTAATAACATTTTTCATTACACGTGCAAAGCTTTATTCATAGCCTAATTTTTAAACATGTTTGTTCGTTCGCTTTTTTGAGTCGTGAATACCATTGTCTTCTTAATTCTGAAAGAGAGTCATTAATATATTTTTTTTCTGTTTTATGATATTTTTGATACATGAAAAAATGGCATATGCATGTTGGTATGCCACACAGACTCTGATACTAATATAATGATGATGAAATATTATTAAAATTAAATGTAAAACATTTATCATAGAAGATGTGTATTCAAGTTATGTATGCTAATGTCAGCTTATATCTTTTAAAAAATAAATGAATAGGTGTGAAAATCATATCACAGACCACAGGATCGCACGATTTTTCTTAGACATGAGATTTGAGTGGGACTCCTAACGTGTGTGTTGATGTGTGTTTCACAGATTGGAGATTGGGTGGCAGAAAAGATGCTAATGGCTCGCGACACCTCCCGCGACGAGACTCAGAAGCCTCATAAGAAGTGGCTAAAACACCAGACCTTCATGGCAGAACTTGCTCAGAACAAGGAGTGGCTGGACAAGATGGAGAAAGTAAGTTCTCAGGGTTATGCTGTGCTCACTATCTTTGCTAATAGTAGTTTATACTCTTAATATAAAAGCATTTTCTCCGTCAGATAATTAAGTGTGAGCAAATGCTCGGTGCCATTCTTCACTTGGCTTGAAAAATAGGCACCTTGAAATGAAAACACGACTTGTCTGTTGACTCATATTCTATTATAGTCAACGACTCGTGTGAAACAGAGCCAGTAATCAGAGATGGCATAGCATTTAACAAGGGCAAATCCGCTTAGTGTATCATTTACATATAGTGGTGCACGCACACTTTCTATATTGTTTTGCATAGTAATTATTGTTAGTGATATTTATGGGGTTGTATGGATTATACACATTATCTTCTGATGCCACTAAATATCACAATACTCTGTCCTGCATTGTTTGTGCTACGAACATGAATTGTACCTCAGATTGCCCAGCTTGTTGAGAAGAGTCAAGCAGCTATATTACATTGCATTGCATTGCATTACATTATATTATATTATAGCTACTGTAACTGAAAGTGTTTCTGAAGTGAATTTTGGATAGATGTAAAAAGCCCTGGTGCTTGTAGCACACTGATGTCCGATTGAAAGACTGATGTTGTTTAATCTGCCAGTTACACTGTTTTATTGACATTGCTGTTGGATTGAATGGACTGTCTTCAGCTGCCAAGGCCCCCAACCTCCTCGTCTTGAATGATCATCTCGCAAAATCCATTAATCATTTTATTCTGTGGTCAGCTGCAATAACAGAGGACGAGTGATGTTGCTGAATACTGTTGTTGTGTATGGTTTGACAAGGTTGTGTGTTTGATGTATTCTGGATATGCCAAGATTTTCTACACTAATGCATGTGAACTGTATTTTGGGGTCAGTAAGTTGTGAGTTACCAGGAACAAATTAGACTCCTTTACTCATATTAGTTCGAATATGTGTATGAATCTGACAGGACAGATAATATGGGTGTGTGACAGGGTCGGTGAAATAAAACAATATATATACATTTTAAAATGTTATATTTATATGTATATTTTCTTGGTTAAATCAGAGTTTATTCATTGAAATACAGTTTGAACTGATCTACAGAAAGGATTTAAATTAAGATTAGTTCACCCAAAAATGAAAATTTGCTATCCAAGGTGTGAGTTTGTTTCTTTGTGGAAACAGATTTGGAGAAATGTAGCATTACATCACTTGCTCAGCAATGGATGCTCTGCAGTGAATGGGTGCCGTCAGAACGAGAGTCCAAACAGCTGATAAAAACATCACAATAATCCACAAGTAATCCACACCACTCCAGTCCATCAGTAAATATCTTATGAAGTGAAAAGCTGTGTTTAAGAAACAAATCCTTCAAGATGTTTTAACTTTTAACCATCGCTTTTGACCACAATAATAAGTCCATAATCCATAATAACGTTTTTTCCAGTGAAAAAGCCCACCCCCTGTTGTCCTCTCACATCAAAATCCACCAACATATTTGTTTAGAGCTGTTTTGGACTGTTTTCACTTGTAAATGGTGCTTGATCTGTTCATATTTCCCTTCTGATTCATACAAGAAGACCTCTTATTGTAGTTGAAAGCAATGTTTTGAACATTTTGAAGTCTTAATGATGGATTTGTTTGTTACAAACACACAGCTTTTCACTTCACAAGCCACTAATTCATGGACTGGATTACTTGTGGATTATTGTGATGTTTTGATCAGCTGTTTGGACTCTCATTCTGACGGCACCCATTCACTGCAGAGCATCCATTGGTGAACAAGTGATGGAATGCTACCTTTCCCCAAATCTGTTAGAAGAAGAAACAAACTCATCTGCTTCTTGGATGGCCTGAGGGTTAGTATACTTAAACAAATTTTCATTTTTGAGTGAACTATTCCTTTAATGCCTATTTTTGCAACTGAAGCCTAAATTAAAGTCGCTATTAATATCTGGCCAACCGAGACGACTCCAAAACGAATGACACAAAGTAATCACGAAATTCAAGTTGGTTATACATGCTGCTTGTTTGATATTACCAGCATAATCATCAAGAATATTATGTAAATGCTTGATAGTGTGTGATAGCATGTGAGGACTGTGTGTGTGTGTGTGTTTGTGTACCTGTTTTTTTTTTCTGGTGGGGACTTAAACCTGAATACACACAGACTCATGGGGACTCGTGTCACGGTGGGGACCTAAATTGAGGTCCCCACGGGTAAACAAGCTAATAAATCACACAGAATAAAGTTTTTTGAAAATCTAAAAATGCACAAAGTTTCCTGTGAGGGGTAGGTTTAGGGGTAGGGTTGGTGTAGGGCAATAGAAAATATGGTCTGTACAGTAGAAAAACCATTACGCCTATGGAGAGTCCCCACAAGGATAGCAAACCAGACATGTGTGTGTGTGTGTGTGTGCAGATTTCTCTTGACCTAGTATTTCCCATAGACAGCTGAATGCTGGGGCCCATTTCATTTCTCTGTCATATAACCTTAAACTAGTTACCAGGAATAGAAAAATGCTGAACTGTGCTGGCTACATATTTATAAGAGCACCCTGGATTCATGTACCACGCTCTTATTTTCTGCTGAATTTGGCCCGTTTGGACCGCTTTGCCTTGCAAAGCTAAAATAAATGCTTTACACATTCACCGTGTCCATAGGTGTATTCACAAGGGTCAAATCCATCTTTGTTTGGACAGTTTTTTCTTTCTAGAACCCCAAAGTTACTTGGTCCTACTGTTCAGCAAACCCGAAGTGTTAATTTGTCAAAATTTGTATTTGCTCTGGTCATGTCCAGTGTCTTAGTGTAATAATTCATCACTGATCTTTAGCCAAAAAGATGGCCAATTCACCAACATGTATAATATACATTCAAATAAATTAGCTTTGATATAAAATTCATTTTATCTGCCATGCATAAAATTAGGGTGACCATACGTGCCATTTTCCCAGGACGCGTCCTGGCCAGGATTTGTTTTGGCTTTGTTTTCCTGTTTTCATGCTTGCTGAAGGTAATGATCGAAAAGTAGTTTGACCAATAACATGCAAGCATTGTACATAATGGACCAATCATGGCGTGTGAGAAGGTGGGATCTACGGTCAAAGCAATGCAATTACACGTACATATTAGGTGTGTTCGACTTAAAAGCAGTGCGGCTCAGACCGATCAGTGTTTGACATCAAAGTACCTCGAGAGCGTTTCGAAAGCATAACCGTCTGTATGGTACTTTGATGTCATACACCGATCGGTCTGCACACGCAAACAAAGCCAAAACCTAGATATTTTAGGCAATAGCATAACCGTCTGTATGGTACTTTGATGTCATACACCGATCGGTCTGCACACGCAAACAAAGCCAAAACCTAGATATTTTGGGCAATATAGAAATCCTGGCCAGGACGCGTCCTGGGAAAATGGCACGTATGGTCACCCTAATAAAATGTACTTTGACATGCTACAAGCTGTTTTTAGCATTAAAATGGCTTTGCTCATGTGCATCTCTCAATCACATGCAGCTGCTATGTCAGGCTCTTTCTAAATATGTGGTCAAAATGATGCCTAGTTTGCTAGGTTAAGGGAAAAAATGGCTTACCTACCCTATATGTACCCCTATATATACAAAATACAGTTTGTCAGGAATTTAAGCATTTTAGGCCATTTTTAAGAGCATCAATTGCAAAGCAAAAGGTGCTTGGTGCACAGATGCACTGAAATGCATCACTGAAAGGTTACATTTATTGAGTGTTACAATTATGCCTGCTTTCTAATATCATATAGTATCATGAAAATGAAACATATATTATGCTATGGTCTGTCCTCATGAATTTGGTGGAGTTTGACATTTTTTTTAATGGTCAGTCATGTTGATGCCTTTGAATTGGGATACTTCGAGGAGTCGCTTTGGTTGAGTTTCCATTATCTGCAATTAATTTCCGATTCATACTGTATAGTTATTTTTATTTTATTTTAGTTTGAGTTGATGATATTGAGTGAACATAACTAGATATAACTGCCACTGGGGCGTCAGCAGATCGTACCAAAACGTTTGAATCAGATCGTACAGATTCATTCGAATTAGCCACCAATTCGCCAAAACATAATGACATTGTTATGCAGCAGTATATTCTTTACATGCTCATATAGTAAGAGCTTCTGTTCATTAATCTGTATTTTCCAGTAAACAGCGTTATGCAGCACCTCACCCTTGCAATGGACACATGCGTTATAATTACAACATGCTGTTTTGACTAGTTCTTATCCAATGTCACTAACCCAGCAGCTGTCAGATGGAGCAGTCATGCCAAATCAAGTGAAAGGGAGGAGAGTATGTATCTGTTGCTAGGTGCTGCTTTCCTCATCCCCCCCAACCCCAGATCTCCCATGTGTGAAGGTCATTTGTGCTGCCTCCTCTTCACACATCCATGTATGTGGCTCACAGGAAGTGATGAGTTGCACTTCCAGGTCAGTATGAACCGGAACAATGCAATGCATGATTTGGTTTAGGTGCAGTGGTAGCATATAAATTCCAAAAAACTAACTTTTTTATTTTATTTTATGCATTTCTTTAATTGTATGCATATATACATATATATATATATATATATACAGCAGGGTAAAATAAGTATTAAACACGTCACCATTTTTCTCAGTAAATATATTTCTAAAGGTGCTGTTGACATGACATTTTCACCAGATGCAGTTCACCAGACTGCAAAGTAAATGTATAAAGTAATATTGCATTGCATTGCAATAATGATTCTTTTTTTTTTTTTTAAATAAAATAAAATTGGGGCATTTTTTCTTTACCCAAACACATAAAATGGCATGTTTATCACAGAAGATAATTAACCGGTCTCATTATGTAATTGAGATTTATCTAGCAAGCATGTTCAATTAACACCACACAATTACCTGGACTGCTTTGTTTTAAAGCCTGTTGGAAGATTTGTGAATGTGATCTGTATCTCTCTTTACACCCTTCTCCTCCATGCTTTCCTTGCTGCCTCTT